TAAAATTCCACTTAAATTATGAGTTGCTGCTCTTCCATGAGGTGTCCTTCCTTTATACACTGCTATGGGAAGAAGTAGCTTAGGTTAAGCGTACAGCCCCTTGTAATCAGTTTGACTGGGCTTGTTTCTCTTAACCTGTCTTGATCTCAATTTACCTATAAAGCACAGATAGCACTGGTACCAAGTTCATAAGGCTGTTATGAGTAGTAAACAAGATTCTCACGTGAAACATTTAACCAAGTATCTGATGTAACAAACAGTAAACGTCAGCTATAATTCTTCTAAGAAGAAAGTTTGTGTGCAAAATGATTTTTTTAACAGATATCTATTTAAGGGAAAGTGACCATCAGAAAATTTAATATGTAATGTTAAATAGTGTCATTTAACATCTTCAAGCAAGAGGGGAATTCCAGCCCTTTATGGAGTAGGTCACTTCTCCTAGTTCAGAACTGAAAGAGAAAAGAACACCTCTCCAGATGATATTCTCCATAGAAATACTGCTTTGTTGTAGTTTTTTATTTTTCTGTAATCTTTTCAATCCTTTATACATATGCATAAATGAGGAAAGAAAGGGACATGGGACAAGCATCATGAGCATTTATTTCCTGCCTATGATTAAAAATGCTGAGATATAAACAGTGTAGTAAGAACAGGAGGGATTTCATCTTAAGGCTAAGATCCCATTTTAAAAATCAGGATGTTAGGAGACAGGATTCCTAACATGTTTTATGATAATCAGACAAAAACTGACCCTGTCTTAAAGCAGCGTCAGCAGTCCTAAATGACATGTCCTCACTGCTTGAGGGTAACCACTATCTTGGAGAACAAGATCAAGAAATCCCTTGGGTTAAATTTATTTTACAGAATATCTAGAGGACAGATTATGGATGGTGACATAATGTCTCTCACTGGAGACAGACATCATGAGACCACATGTGAAGCCTGCACCCTCTTGGCCCCCAAACCCCACCCTTTGTCCCATTCTTGAAGGCCTTAAAAGTTGAGCCCACCACCTCTCTGAGTGAGATGCACTCCCCTTTCTTTCAGTGTGTACTTTTTCCCCTTAGATAGACTTCTCACTGCTCACTTACTACATTTTGTCTCTATGATCTTCCAGTGGTAAGTGGCAATGTTACTTTGCTATTTCATTCAATTGTATACACTTAAGCACAAGTTTTCACTCTCTCTATCCTACTTCAGTCAAGTAAGAAAGGGTTACTGAGAGCTCTGATTTGGGCTTGCAAGTTCCCATCACCTGGGTGACCCAGACAGGGCTGCAGCTGTACAGCCTTAGTAGCCTGACCAAAAATCTCCTTTCTTTGCCTTTGGGAAGTTCTCAGAACATGAACTCACTCCAACCAGTGCTCTGTGGCTCCTCCAAATCCTGGGGTTATAGGGGCTTAGTTCCCATGCAGTGCAGATTTCAAGCAGACACTGGATGCCAGGTGACCCTGGCTTTAGGAGTTGGCAAGGGATTTGCCCTATGCTGAGCAGGGGTTCAGTGAGTTTCCCTTTTCTCCCTCTGGTCTTCCTTGCTTTTTGCTGCCAGCAAAGCAGCTGCCATTCACTTCTACTCTCCCTTTAATGAACTCCTTCCTCACCTATACTTATTCAACTTGTTCAAGAATTCTTGTTCAGAGCCAATTACCTCCCCCAACCCCAATCCAGATTGAGGTTTCACCTAGTACACAGGGAGAGACCTCCCTAGATGCAGCTGCCTGGCAAAATAAATGTTGGGAGGATTTTAAAAAGCATAAGTTTGATGTTGATTTGTCCTCTATCATATAAGGTTTACTTTTCAACTTTTAGAAAAAGATTAGAATATGTTATAAAGCTGATAATTTTTACTTGACATCATTTGCCTTTTTAAAAAGGCATTGGTAATTAGAAAGGAGAAGAATAACATTTGATTTTGATAAAGATAAGTTCTCTATGAAGATTAAAAGAAAATCAACAAATAAGATTTTTTAAGCATAAAAATCATTATCTCCTCTTTTAAGTGAAAAGTAAAAATGTTTAATGACCCCTTGAGAACCTTTCTAATAAGGAGTGATAATGTAAGTTTTTGTCATTTTTCAAATAGATGTGTTTTTGGCAGCCAAATCTTGTTTTTTTCTGACTCTAAGTAAAAGCAGAAAAGCCATTTACCAAAAAACTAAAACAAAACATACCTGCTACAGATCACTGTGATAGCTTTAAGTTTTCCTTTTTATCTTTAGTTTTGCAATTATAATTATACAAAGTGTTTTAAGATTTACTATAACTCAATTAAGCAAATATTTAGAGTCATAGTTGCTAGTATTATTTAATCAGAATTAAGCACGGTTGCTGGCCATTTTTCTTTTTCTTTTTTTTGCTGTGGCATAAAGAGATGACTTAGAAGTTGCTGGGGTCATTCCCAGCTCAGTTTTATGAACTGATGGGCAAGACAGCTAAGTTTAATGGCCTGAGAGCAGAAAGAGATCCTAATGGATTTTTTTCCCCTCAAAAAAATCTTTCAATGTGGAAACAATAAATTTCACAGAAAAAAAAGGTAAATAACAGTGTATATGACCTCATAGAAGAGAAAATGAGTAGTAAGTTCTGAATACATATTTTAGGCATCGGGAAAGGGAGTTTTCAATTGTATTGGCCTAGGTTCTTAAGAAAGTAG